TCTAATTGACCCAGGAACATTATTGCTGTTCCTCAGTATTGGACATAAAAAATGTAACATGTTTTTTCTTTTAGGAAAACAAGAAAATTGTCATTGAAAAACCAATTCACAAATATGGATTGAAATAGTTTGTAATGGATTTAATAATCAGATATGAAGTTTTTTTTTTTTGACACTATGTTATTATTAAACATGCCCCGGGTCTAATTGACCCAGGAACATTATTGCTGTTCCTCAGAAATGAACATAACAGGAGGGTTAAGTATGATTGTGCTCATATGTTTGTTTTTTTCTGTAGGTGGCCTGGATTCAGTGGAATATTACGACATTGCCAGTAACGAGTGGCGTTCTGCCTCGCCGATGCCATGGAGGGGCGTGACAGTGAAGTGTGCCGCTGTTGGAGGCGTAATCTATGTGCTGGCAGGGTTCCAAGGGGTGGGTCGACTCGGGCATGTCCTGGAGTACCACATTGAGACTGACAGGTTGGTATTGTCATTAAACACTTTCTACACAACAACCATGCATTTATATCACTGTATACTCTTTACAGCAGAGGTCTTCAGTGATGTGAGTTGCAAAAAATGTTGCTTTTAATGCTTTTTTTACCCTTCAGTTATGTTTTTAAACACATAAGGTATATGGAATGTGGCAAAATGAATGAACTTGCATAAATACTGCTTTTTTAAAAAAAATTCTATATAAATCACGCTAACATTTTAATCAGTAATGACTTTTTTGTTTTTGGAAGTTACCTTCAGCTGTGCAGCTTTCAGTAATATTACGATTTAAAACTCTGTTTTAAACAAATACTATGAAACATTTCGTGTCGCACTGCTGATCATCTCTACAAATAACCGTTTTGATTGAACGCCGACTCGCTTTTACTCCCAACGTTTTTGTTTCTCTCGTCCTCAGGTGGGTGACGTGCAGCAAAGTGCGAGCGTTTCCCGTCACCAGCTGCCTCATCAGCGTGGTGGACACGTGCGGCGTGAACGAGGACGAAGACATGGACATCATCGACTCTCAGCCGCACGCTGCGTCCGCCACCTCTTCCTCCGCTTCCGCCGCATCGTCCTCATAGAGAAATGAAGAGTTGTGTATTGTGTTATGATTTGTGATGTTCATGAAATCCAAGAGACGGGATCTCTCATTTCAGGTAGTTGTGTTTAAACAGCTTATGTGTTTTAGGAAGTTGTTCTTTGTTTTTTTTWAAAGGTGAAGTTGTACCATGAGTAAAGCAGTATTTAATTGTTTGTAAATTAATTTTATGTGCTGTGCCTTTGAAGGAAATGCCTAAACATTTTCTTTGAATTATGTTCTTAAAAGTAAAAAAAAAATCAAATGGAATTTTACATTTGGTCTGGTCTCCATTTATTTTCCTTTAATGAAAAAATACAAAATTTCATGGCAACACTTGCATTGATAGAATAAAAGTATAAAAACAATCATTAATTGCTTTAGTTACAATTTTTTTTTTTTAGATGATTTGATTAAAGGACCACTACAAAAGAACAATGAGTTTGACAATACTGTGGGGMAAAAACAAAATGTAAATAGACCCTTAACCTCCAGTGAAATCTTATAGGCCAGGCATAATCAACTGGTGGCCCGTGGGCCAGATGACTTCATCCAGCCTGCCAATGAGGCCTCCCAAAAAAAAAAAAAATACTGATTTGGTTCTAAATGAATTCTACATTTTTTTAAGATTCAGTGCAACAAATTAATTCATTTTAAGTGGTAAAAGATACTTGTTTTACATAATGAAATATTATTGTGTAACCCCACCCCCCTCGGAAGTCTAGCCTCCCAAGTTGTTGGCTTTGACCAACTGCAGCCTCCTGTGCAGTTTAGTTTAATAATCTGATGTCAGCAAAGTGTTTCAGGTTTTTGACGCTTCATTCATTAATTCATTTTAATTAATGTAATAAAACCACCTGCTACCATTCTTGTGGTTTTAATTGCATGACGTCTCCACCATCTTATGGTAATTATTATATTTTATTATTTTTGGGAGGGCCAYTTCTAGATAAAAATCCTCTTTTATGTGTTGAATTCTTGTGCCAACATAACGAAATAAAACCAGTGACTGCTAAAAATATGTTTTATAGAATCTAATCAGATGCTCAGCCTGACTTTACAAGTTAACATGGTCCCAAAACTTCAGATAATGGGKTTAAATTAGTGCAATAAATTGCCTTAGAAATTAAAAGGCGACATTTTTCAGTGGGTAAACAATCTTAAAGCTTTCTCCGAACATCCCAGGCGTAAATTCATGTTTCTCTGCCGCCTCACCAATCATACTCTTCCTCACACGTAAGAAGAGTGAACCTGTTGTTCAGCTCATCCACGCCCCTCGCCTCGCCTCCACCTCTTCCTCGTCTGCCTCGACCTCTGCCCCTTCTCTTCCTCCCGTGTGTCAGAGAAGGGGCATTTGCTTTGAAGCTGCAGTCCTTGACAGCATCCAGAAGGCAGGAGTARACTCGCCCAGGTAAGGATCCTCCGGGCAATAAGGACTCAGAAACCCTGCCTGTTTTCAGGAACCTGTGGAGGCCATGCACCAAGGTCCCACTGAACAACCTAAAACATGAGGAGGAAAATCAGRCAGGATGCCAAACGCATTTCAAGGGTTCTAAAATGATTTAAAGAAAAGCAGTTTGTTCTCAGAGCATCTTACCCTGGCAGATGGGGTTGGGGCAGAGGCATCAGCAACAGCTGATTGAGACAYAGTGCGCACCACAGGCAGGACTGCCACTGGCTGAAACTGTGAGCCGCCCCGACATCCAGTCCCCGTCTCTCCCCTGGTCTCACTCGCTGCTGATCCAGTGCTGACAAGAYGCTTCGCTCTGCAGCCCAGTTTAGTGCAGTATTAGCTCAATCAGAGYAGAGTTGTAAAGTAACTAAGTACAAATACTTAAAGGAGACTTTAACTTTTACCAAAGTAATTTTTTGGTAAGAYACTTGTACTTTTACTCAAGTGTCACTTTGTGGTGCTTTATACAACACTGATTCAGAGTAAAGCTCCATGCTTGACAATTAAAAATAAACGATCCAATCCAACTAACCAGTATATTGGTGGGTCGTGCCTCCAGACTGGCTGTTCCAGGACAACTCCCCATAAACCATGTTAAGCACCAAAGCCTGCACCAGGGTCTGCGAGGGTCTYGGTGTGGCTTCGCGCAACCAGAATCCGGTCACTGCAACAACYAGTTGTAGGTGGACCGGGACAGGAGCCAGAGAGGACTCCTTCACTGCCAGGACTTCTAATAGGACACCAAGTCGCAAYGCCACAGGAGCCTGGATAGAAGAACAGGATTAAACATGAAACATGGCTAAAAGAAGTTAGTCACAGTCAACTATTGGGTAAAAACAACATCTTTACCAGGTTGAGTCCATCCAGATGTATATAGGTCCTAGGGGGTTGTGCCTCCACTTGGTTTTTCTTGAAGKATAGATCCAAACGGTCATACTCTTCGACAAAATTCTGGCTGCTCTGTGCTTGCACTGAAGCTCCACTAGCTGCACGGTCCATGCTCTGTGGAGCAAACGTGTGGCTCTGACCCCTCCCTCCCCCACCCCTTCCCCCTCTCCCTCTTCGACCTCCCATTCCTTGGACTTGTGCACCTCTTTGAGTGTTCTGCAGCAAAAGGCCATATATAGCCTTACGTATGGGCGTAGAACAAAAGTGGCTGCTAGGTTGTCTGCTGCTCTCCACCTGTGGGATGAGAACAACCCTCTGCATGACCAAGCCATCAACCACCAGAGGAGCCAGCTGGCCCCGGGCTGCAGCCAAAGACAAGAACTCGGGCAGCTCAGCCAGCCCAGACATTTTCCCTTTCRGAGCTACCTGACCTCCTGAAAACCAGTGAGCGAGGGAACTTTTGGCTTCTATACGGTACTCTTGCATAGCATCCCACAGCTGAGAGCTAAAGCAACCTCTCTGTCCTCGCCTACCTCTCCCGCCCGCCCCGTCCATCAGCTCGCTGACTTCCTCCAGGGCCTCCGCCACATTCGAAAAGGAGGACAACCAAATGAGGAGGCCCTCGATACGTGTAGCGGGTGCTCTGCCTTTACCTCTGCCACCTCCTCGGCCTAACGCGCTCGCATCTATCAGATTCAGGAACGTGTCGGMCTCTTTTAGAACGCCGTAGTCATTACCAATAAGGACAGCGCATAAGGGTAGCAACTCGCGGTTCATGCCCCCAAACCAGCTACACAGATTGTAAGTGTTGTATWTCCGAGCTGAGATGTAGCGCTGGGATGCCTTTCCATTTAGGTTGGTCCACTGGAAAAAACGGAGGGGCAGACAACCRCCTAGGATAAGACAACAAGGAGCATCATATATAAATCCCGAATACAGTTTAAGGATAATACAAGTTTACTACTTCCCATACCTGGAAGATCAAAGACRTAAAAGTCACTGTCATTTGTCAGAACAGGGCACTTCCATTGATACGCCAAACATGCTATTTCCCAGTCTGCCTCCACYGGACATTGAACCAGTGGGACTCCTCTCTGGACGAGGACCTGAATGAAGACCTCTCTTGTGAGAATCGGAAGGACGGAGCCATTGCAGCCACGAGAGATGCTGTCTGCCTCCTTGATCTTGGAATGCAGGCGCTGGCGCAGAGTAGGRAACTTCTTGTCACTGGGGTCCATCCCTTATAATCGTGATCAAATTAGGGCAAAAATATTAAAYGTTTGTGGATTCRGGGTCAWGTTTCATGCAGATCGTTTAAAAAGYTGTTCTACTTTATTCTGATATCTCTAAAAGATAATAAAAGGAATGAAAATACAAATAAAACTTAAAGTGGTGCTTACCTCCATCCAGGACCACAAAGGGCTGGATGTTACAGGCTGCCAAAGCAGAAAGGAACTGGGTGAGCAGGTTAGCAAAAGCATCATARTCTCCTCCATGCTGCTGATCCAAACCGTGGTTAAAGTAGAGGCGGAAGAAAAGACTGCAGCCATCAATAACCAGGACACTGTCCCTGAACTTTACATCTTGAAGCAAGTTTCTGTTCCCTTCTACAAATGTAGTTAACCCCAGCACACCCATGGCATCTCATTGACGGTTCTGCAAGACATGATGGGGGGGRAAAGATAAAAGATTTTCACTCAGTAGTGCTGACACACACAAAAAAAAAAAAAATCAAGACTTTTCGATGCCACAAGAAGAACAACAAATGACAGCTACATTACACTATAATTGAGAATGTGCCGTCAAGTAATTTACTTTTTTTTGACAATTCCAAATTATAACACTGCAAGTGTAAAAACATAGTTAATAAGAACATTTTAAACTAATTATAACAATAAAGTGAACGCACACAAACCTTTTGTTGTTTTTGTGAAGCGAGCAGCTACTTCCTTGTTAAGTTAGATTTCAAAATAAAATTTATTGTTCACGGGAAAATCGTTTATGTTGTAGTAGGTCTGGCATTGTCATGTTTATTTTACCATAAACATGTATTTTAAAAATATACTCAAAACATCCGAATAAAGTCTTGAAAACGAAACACTACTGAAAACACAAAACTTATATTTTGAAATGGCGTTACATCTCGCGAGAGAAGACGAGACGAGAATGCAAACACTAGCTATAGCGCTAGCTAGTTTTGTTCTTCGCGTTTGAAATTTATTCTCGTTTTTTATGGTCACGATGTCTGGCGGAGCAGACTTCGGGTTTCCAGGGACAAGCCAAGCCAGCTCGGGGACGTTTGCGCACCGGAAAAAAGACGGCAGCCCGTCCGCTAGGTTCTGGGAGAGTGTCGACACTTTAGCCCAGCTGGAGCTGGTGCGACAGTGGCTTGGGAAGCATTACAAAAAGGTAACAGAGAAACCGCTAGCCGTCACTTGCTAGCTCGCCCGTCGGCTCACTGTAAACAAATGTTTTATTCTAGACAACTAGCTGCTAAGATTTGTCCGGTGAAGCTAAACACCCGCACCAATTTGATGTAAAGTAAAGCAAATAAGCCATGCAGGGTCAGTCGAAAAGGTTGATCATAATGCAACTGTTACAGAAATATGTGGCTGAATCAATGTTTGTAAGCAAGAATCACAATCAAATAACATTTCTTCTCTTCTTAAAAATGTGTGTTTGTCAGTATTTGTTGGTGGATGCCCCATCTTGCCAGGCTCTGGCTGCACTTACCTTGCAACTTCTTCAGTTTCAAGAAGATGTCTTTGGCAGACATGCTAACAATCCTGCACTTACAAAACTACCTGTGAGTTGGTTTGTTTTTATTATATTTGTTGTCTTTTGGTTAATGCTAGTTTACCTCTTTAGGGATGCGTGTTGGCAGGTTTTTTTAATCATCATTATTTTTATCAGTCATCACTTTACTATGAGTAATATTACTATAATATGKTGTAACAACTTTTTATTATTATTATTATTTCTGAACAGGCACACTGCTTTATGGACTTGCGACCAGGCGGTGGACTCTGCCACGTCCTCGGGACTGCTTACAAGTTCAAGGTTGAGCAGGGCTGGTGGGTACCAAGCATCCTTCACCTCTGCTGTTTTGTGACTCACAAACCCGTTCCACTTGTTTTTTGGTTTACCAGCTTTTTTTTTTTTATTCCATCCTTTTCTCCACACGCAGGCGAAGATTTGACTTACAGAATCCTTCGAGAACTGAGAGGAATGTGGAGATGTTTAGTGCAATTGAAAAAACTCTGCTCCAGGTGTCAARGACGCACATTAAAATCAACACACACGTTCACGTTGAGGAATCGTTGTTAACTTTTGTGGACTTTTTGTATCTACAGAACAATATCATGCCTCTGCCTGTAGTATATCTCGACTCGACTGTTGATCCTGAGCTGTTCAGCAGACTAACTGGCATCATCATCAAACACAAGGTAAAGGGCTACAAATGGCAAAGATGACATTTGTTTGTAGACTTGAATAAAGTTACAGTTTCAYATGTGCAGCWGTGATGTGTAGCTCTGATTATATAGTTCCACATGTGTCACTAAGTYAAAGTTTGCCTCTCCTCAGGGTGCCGTCACCGAGGACAGAACAGTTGCCACTCATCATGTCTACGTCGCACTTGCTTCTTCAGAGGGTTAGTTCAATTTTTTTAGGTGTATGTTTGTTTATAACAGTCTATTACCAAATATTAAACTGTTCTAATACCGTTTTGTTGGCACACTTCATTTCAGATGAGTGGATGCGCCCTGTTTTGCAAAAAGACAAGCACGTCCTGGTACACTGGGGAATGCACCCTGACAGGTAATGCTTGAAAAAGCACACAAACACACATGCAGTTGACYTTATGGAGCCTCACAAATAAACTATTCAAACATGTTAAATATGCCAGTTTTTGTGCACAGTTGAAGAAAATGAATGTGGTATAAACGTGTACAGATTCTTCTACAAACCCTTTGTGTTGCTTCAGGTTAACAGGTTAGTTTTGTGATTTACAAACTGAAGCACCACAGCCCTATTTCCAAAATAAAGCTGCAAGAAAAACTAAAACTGATCAAAAACTGATCAAAATGCATATTTTCAGTCTTTTTACTCCTCTTGTTTTACCAGTTATGACAGCTGGTTGTCCTCGAGTGATGTCGAAGGAGAGATTGAAGAATTGCCACACACAGAAAAACCGTGGAGGGTTAGTATAATATACATGAAAAAAACAAATATTTACTTCTTCATATACTTAAAGTAAATACAAAAAAATGTAAAATTTTGTATTTTGATTTGCTTGCCAGGATTAGAGTCATAATTATTTTTCGATTACTGACTGTCTGACATTTTGGTGATGAGCAGAAATGTGGTTATAGGACAGAGATAAGTCAGATTTAATAGATACAAGTCACTGTTTTTATTTTAATACCAATAAAACAAAGTTGTTAACCGAACACAAAACATGTTCATCTATTTTTATTTGCTTTATTGATAACCACCATTCACACAACATGGGTCTGTGTGCTGCAGGTTCATGCTGGTTGGGTTCTAGACACAGACGTCTTTAATGAGTGGATGAATGAAGAAGACTATTGTGTGAATGAGAGGAACGTGCCCGTCATCCTCCGCCGACGAATTCAGCTCCACGAAGAACTGGTTTGTGTGAAACTATTGGTGCTTGTCGGGCACCAAAAAACAAAACAAAACAAAAAAACACATCTTGGCGCAATTAAAGTAACTTTAAAAATATAGTAATGTGAAGAAATGTTATAATGAGGACTTGTTTTAGCAC